ATGCTGTTCAATTTTGACATAATCAAGTGAATGAGAAATAGAATGTGTCTTCTAACTCACTTGAAAAGAATAGAGAAATGATTTTTTTACGTAAGTCATGTATATATGAAGACGGGGGGAGTGGTTATCTATAGTCATCAGGTGTCTGCCGGTTGTGTGATGCGAATATTGACTTTGTTTATACTCGATATATATATATATATATATATATATATATATATATATATATATATATATATATATATATATATATATATATATATATATATATATATACTCCTCACCAAACTTTCATTTAATTATGGCAGGTCGTCAGTTGTAAACAAGAGGGGTCAAATGTTCATCTGTACATAGCCTTGCCGTATTTAGCCTTCAACTCCCCCCCCCACCCTCCCCTTATTGCGCTACTGGATACCAGATTCACCCATCGGTCAGTGCTGGGTCAACGTCTTACGTCTCTCTTCAAACGGGCTAACCGACAACCAACCACCCACCCACCATACCCCCATACACAAGGATTAATTTTAAACGTTTCAGCCTTTTAAAGGGGGGGGGGGGAGGGGGGAGAATTACAATTAAAGGGAGGTTACAATAAAATCATAATTAGATTTTTATGTTTCGTTATCGTAACAGACATCTCACAAACGCACTAAACGTTTTTTTTTAACAAAAAAGAACCTAAGATAATATGAATTTTATACGTTTTGTATGTTAAGTAAGGTATTAATATCCCTTACCCGTGATCCGAACTCAAGATGTTCGGAATAGCAGCCATGCTATCTACCGGTCGGCCATGCCGCCACACAACGAATGTGAACTATGTTCGCTTAAAACAATTATGATAGGAGCTACTGTATGGAGTTATTTTTTTTTAGAGAAATCTATAAACTGTATGTCTAAATTTTAATACTTACCCGCATTAAAAAAAAAAACAACTGATGGTAGCTTAGATCTAACTATTACTAGTTTCTTGTTGTAGATCTAGACATTAGAACAGTGAACTAGACTCCCAGGTAGAACAGTGAACTAGACTCCCAGGTAGAAAAGTGAACTAGACTCCCAGGTAGAACAGTGAACTAGACTCCCAGGTAGAACAGTGAACTAGCACCCCCTCAAGGTAGAACAGTGAACTAGCCCCCCCCCCCAGGTAGAACAGTGAACTAGACCCCCAGGTAGAAAAGTGAACTAGCCCCCCCCCCCCCCCCCCAAGGTAGAACAGTGAACTAGACCCCCAGGTAGAACAGTGAACTAGGCCGTCTCAGGTAGAACAGTGAACTAGCCCCTTCCCAGGTAGAACAGTGAACTACCCCCCCCCTCAGGTTGAACAGTGAACTAGCCCCCCCCCACTAGGTAGAACAGTGAACTAGCCCCTTCCCAGGTAGAACAGTGAACTACCCCCCTCCACCCAGGTATAACAGTGAACTAGCCCCCCAGGTAGATCAGTGAACTAGACCCCCAAGTAGAACAGTGAACTAGACCCCCCCCCCCCAGGTAGAACAGTAAACTAGGCCGTCACATGTAGAACAGTGAACTAGCCCCCCCCCCAGATAAAACAGTGAACCAGGCCCCCTCAGGTAGAACAGTGAACTAGCCCCCCCCCCCTTCCCAGGTAGAACAGTGAACTAAGCCGTCTCAGGTAGAACAGCAAACTTGCCCCCCCCCCCCAGGTAGAACAGTGAACTAGCCCCCGCCCCCCTCAGGTTGAACAGTGAACTAGCCCCCCCCCCCACTAGGTAGAACAGTGAACTAGCCCCTTCCCAGGTAGAACAGTGAACTGCCCCCCTCCACCCAGGTATAACAGTGAACTAGCCCCCAGGCAGAACAGTGAACTAGACCCCCAGGTAGAACAGTGAACTAGACCCCCAGGTAGAACAGTGAACTAGCCCCTTCCCAGGTAGAACAGTGAACTAGCCCCCCCCCCCCCCCACAGGTAGAACAGTGAACTAAGCCGTCTCAGGTAGAACAGTGAACTAGCCCCCCCCCCCCCCCCCCCCACAGGTAGAACAGTGAACTAAGCCTTCTCAGGTAGAACAGTAAACTAAGCCCACAGGTAGAACAGTGAACTAGACCCCCAAGTAGAACAGTGAACTAGACCCCCTTCTCCAGGTAGAACAGTAAACTAAACCGTCACATGTAGAACAGTGAACTAGCCCCCCCCCCCCCTTCCCAGGTAGAACAGTGAACTAAGCCGTCTCAGGTAGAACAGTGAACTTGCCCCCCCCCCCCCCAGGTAGAACAGTGAACTAGCCCCCCCCCCCCAGGTAGAACAGTGAACTAAGCCGTCTCAGGTAGAACAGTGAACTAGCCCCCCCCCCCCCAGGTAGAACAGTGAACTAAGCCGTCTCAGGTAGAACAGTGAACTTGCCCCCCCCCCCCAGATAGAACAGTGAACTTGCCCCCCCCCCCCCCCAGGTAGAACAGTGAACTAAGCCGTCTCAGGTAGAACAGTGAACTAAGCCGTCTCAGGTAGAACAGTGAACTAAGCCGTCTCAGGTAGAACAGTGAACTAGGCCGTCTCAGGTAGAACAGTGAACTAGCCCCCCCCCCCCCCAGGTAGAACAGTGAACCAAGCCGTCTCAGGTAGAACAGTGAACTAAGCCGTCTCAGGTAGAACAGTGAACTAGGCCGTCTCAGGTAGAACAGTGAACTAGCCCCCCCCCCCCCCCACTAGGTAGAACAGTGAACTAGCCCCTTCCCAGGTAGAACAGTGAACTGCCCCCCTCCACCCAGGTATAACAGTGAACTAGCCCCCAGGCAGAACAGTGAACTAGACCCCCAGGTAGAACAGTGAACTAGACCCCCAGGTAGAACAGTGAACTAGCCCCTTCCCAGGTAGAACAGTGAACTAGCCCCCCCCCCACAGGTAGAACAGTGAACTAAGCCGTCTCAGGTAGAACAGTGAACTAGCCCCCCCCCCCCCACAGGTAGAACAGTGAACTAAGCCTTCTCAGGTAGAACAGTAAACTAAGCCCACAGGTAGAACAGTGAACTAGACCCCCAAGTAGAACAGTGAACTAGACCCCCTTCTCCAGGTAGAACAGTAAACTAAACCGTCACATGTAGAACAGTGAACTAGCCCCCCCCCCCCTTCCCAGGTAGAACAGTGAACTAAGCCGTCTCAGGTAGAACAGTGAACTTGCCCCCCCCCCCCCCCCAGGTAGAACAGTGAACTAGCCCCCCCCCCAGGTAGAACAGTGAACTAAGCCGTCTCAGGTAGAACAGTGAACTAGCCCCCCCCCCAGGTAGAACAGTGAACTAAGCCGTCTCAGGTAGAACAGTGAACTTGCCCCCCCCCAGATAGAACAGTGAACTTGCCCCCCCCCCCCCCCAGGTAGAACAGTGAACTAAGCCGTCTCAGGTAGAACAGTGAACTAAGCCGTCTCAGGTAGAACAGTGAACTAAGCCGTCTCAGGTAGAACAGTGAACTAGGCCGTCTCAGGTAGAACAGTGAACTAGCCCCCCCCCCCCAGGTAGAACAGTGAACCAAGCCGTCTCAGGTAGAACAGTGAACTAAGCCGTCTCAGGTAGAACAGTGAACTAGGCCGTCTCAGGTAGAACAGTGAACTAGCCCCCCCCCCCCCCCCCCAGGTAGAACAGTGAACCAAGCCGTCTCAGGTAGAACAGTGAACTAAGCCGTCTCAGGTAGAACAGTGAACTAGGCCGTCTCAGGTAGAACAGTGAACTAGCCCCCCCCCCCCCCCCATAAAACAGTAAACCAGGCCCCCTCCTGTAGAACAGTGAACTAGGCCTCCATGGATCCACTCGGTACAGCTGTTTATTCTGCACATCACATCTCTACTGATCACCACTAGTGACGGTCATTTGCTTCTACCCCCTCCCACCGTCTGTTCCCCATCCCTTTGTTTTAGTAGTATCATCGCTTGGTAGCACACCCTATTATATTAGCAGGTTATGCTTTCTGACAAGTGCAAATGGAAGTTCATTGAAACGTCAACTGGCTAGAATCAAAGGATTGCCCAGTTTTAAAATGACGATAGAGTTCAGTCTAGTAGTAAACAAACGATATGTTAGGTTTAGCTAAGGCTTTCATTTACTCGATAAAAATACACCATGTCCATACTGTCTTGGATAACTAAACCAACTGCAGGACACCCCCCCCCCCTTCATTTTATTCACACCCTAAAGCCTTTGCGTTTTGTTAAGAAAAAAATGAATTTCAGTATTGCTTGTCTGTATTTTAATTCTATAGAATTTGTGCTTTAACTGCTAGCAAGGTGACCAAGGTTAATGAACAACGTGCGAAAACCAGACCAGGGGATTTGTTGGATTGGGAGGAAGGGTGAAAGGTCAGCCACAGCAAGGAGCATTCAATTGTGCAATGCAGAATATGTTGATCGGCTGTTGATCGTGTATTTGAAATTTGGTGTTTGGTTTGTTTTACGTCTGTTGTACAACATCCAGATAAGTTACTGAGTTAGTGACAAGCAACAAAATGGGTGGCTTAGTTGTTTGCTTTAGTTAGATCTACCTAGACTGTCAGTTCAATTTTCTTGCTCTAGTAATAGCTGCCGCCTTGTCATTCATCCTCACAAAAAATCAAAACACTTCCATAAAATGATGGCCTACCCCCATTACACCAAATTTTCAATTTTTTGTAATTTCTTTCTAAAATATTAATTGATCTGTGTCTAGATTAAATACATTAATCAAATTTGTACTTTGAAAAAAAAAAAAAAAAAAAAATGGCTTAGAAAATGCAAAATAAAAGCAACCTTTGAAATTTTAAACAGTAACGTCAAACTCATATTTAAAACACCATGGAAATGATATAAAAGAACTCAGCCAAAAATAAATTTCATTTATTCATAGTTTTAATAAATGGAATAAATGATGATCCAGAAATGAATGGATGGGACAAGACTCTAACATGAAAAATTAAAGTGGACAATAATATTTGGGGTATAAATAGTTAATTACATTAAGTTTCTTAAAAAAAAGACCAATACATGTACTTTAGTATCTTTAAAAACTTTTCTTTAAAAAAAAATTTAGCACCAAAATATGTTAAACCACATTCATCTCACAAATTATCTATGCTCAATGGTGCCTTAGTATTAAAATAAAAGTAAAATACAATAAGTATAATATTTTAATCTTCTTACATAAAGAAGCTAAAATACTATTTAATATTATAAGAAGTTTTTTTTTAATACACAGTGAAGCAAAGTAAATTCATGAATATTGACTGTAATTTGAAATAGTAGAAAATTCATGTATATAAAAATATGCTTCTACACTTTACTTTGAGCTGCAAAGCTCTGATATACAGTACTTTTACAGTGGATTGAAAAAAAAACAAAACACAATGGCACATCAAATATTGATTCACAAATTAAAATAGATGTAATAAAAATTAATAACAAAGCATGTGAAGACTACACGAGGCAAGCGAGCCACTGTATTGCTCGCTAAACAAAACAAATGCCATTTCACTGTGACTACATCAGGGCAAGAGCTCTCTCATAGACAAGGGAAACAACCTACACTCAAAGACAAAAGGGGGACAACCTTCACTCAGAGACAAAAAGGGGTGGGGGGGGGGGGGTAGAGAAAGGGAGGGCAATGTCCACAGCCTGAAGTTGACATTTCTAGACTACTAGGAAATGTAATATGGTGTAGACATTTTTGTGCAATACAATGTGGTATAAAATAGTATCTACAGTTGACAGATAATCTACAGCAGTTTAAAATTGTACAACATTGTGAAAGTATGTACATATCATTATAACACACAGACATTAAAAAAAAAAAAACTATTTCAGTCATCAGTTTGTGAATAGATACACATCTAACATATTGGTTCATCATACAAACTTGAAGTGTCTCTGAATCTACAACACTTCTGTGGGGAAATTTATTTATAAATAATGCTTGATTAAATACATTTCTAAATATTGGTTTCAGTACTAATACATACATATAGTTGTAGACTGCTAGAACTACATCCCAGTGGTTTACAAAAAAACTGCCTCAAGACAAACCATGCAACAGCTTGAAATTGCTTGAATACAAATAAGCACTTTCTGAAAAACATTGCTTGAATGTGGTGGCTGAAAACTATTTGCACAATAACCATGTTAGTGCTAACAATTGCTTATTTAAGAAATTGCTTCTTTGAAAACAATTTAAACGCTAAAAATTTACAATAAGTCAATAAGAAAAGTAAATATGAATAGCTCTATAAAATTAGTTGCTAAAAATTGCTTTTTTTTTTAAATGATAAGAAACGTCTATAAAAGCGGAGCAAGTAATAAATATATCTAGACTATAAACCATAACTAAGTTATAAAGGAAAATTTTCTCCTCAAAAATAAAAGAGTACATCCATACATAATATATTTCTAATTATAATAATTCATAAATTTTAAACTTTCAAAATGGTGAAATAAAAAAAAAACCCAGAGTTTTCAATGTTCACCCATGTAGCTGACACTAACATTTACTTTGAGTTCAGAATCTGTGTGCTAAAATTCTTTAAATTAGCAGAAATATTTAAAACATATAAGTTAGCGCTAAGGGAGACAACAGTAGCATTAAAAAAGCAAGGGAGAAAAATCATCACAACTCATTCGGCCACTTTGTCATGGCTGATGCTCAGTGGTCTGTAATTAATTAGCTAAATAGTAATTTAACATGAACTATATACAGAATCATACATTATGCTTACCATATTAGGGTGAATATTATTGCTTTAACATACCAAACTAAATCGTACCAACGATTTAATTACATTGCTTTACTCTTTCAAATGTGAAGTTAAAATACTAATTATTATGTGATCTTATATAAATGAACCAAAATGCAAAATACTACTTTATATAACTTCAACTACTTACAAATTTACTTATTTATTTATTGATAGGAATACTAAAGCACACTAATATTTGATTGTAAGATGTTTCAGAAGCATACTTTATTGAGTTAAGTTGAATACTATGCAGAAAAAAATATATATTAAAATCCATTCTTATTGCAGTTGGTTCATTTATTCAACAATGTGAGTGTGTACATGCATAGATGCTTACACACAACACAGTTATGAATACATTACATTACTTTTGTATGTTGCACAATTAATAGTGTAGGTTACAACAAAATTACGTAACATACCATTTAGTATAACAATACATGTGGCTATCACATATATCAAACAATAAGTACCTGTAAACAATAACATACTCAAAACTATGACTTCAAGATAGGAGTTTATTTATCTGTAATTATGTCATTATTATGTTATTATAGTTATGAAAATTAAATATAAACATAATCCATATTAAAATAATTTTTTGACATTTATTTCTTGGACTAAAAATATGTAAAATTTATAATTATATTTTTAGGAGATTTGAAATAAATGTAGCAAAGTGAGCTCAAATTATGGAGATCTACACACTAAATATTGAATAAACATAAAAATATCATGTTTCATTTGAAAGTGAGAAACTTTTCATAGGATTTTACCAAATCTCAGTTGAATTTGGTTTAAGTAAAATACTGTTATACCTTTTCCAACTTAGAAAAAAAGAACTTAAAAAATAATTAAAACTGATTTCCCTCCACACACTGTAACTCTTCTTTATCTTGAAAGTGAAGTTTAACATCCGTTGTTTCTCAACACCACGATTGTCAATTGTGACTCAATAGTTTGTGAATGATTGAAAAAAAAATGAAAGTCTTTGCCATTATAAGATTGTCCTTAAGCACAATATCAACAAACACTAGTGTCAGTTCTGCCAATCCTGCAGCTCAAAATGTTTTTAGTCAACTTGATGATAGATGTGCGGCACAATCATCATCAGTTTTTCTGATTTGTTGATATGCATCTCAGTCTTTTATATTTTTAGCTATAAGTTATAGTAGTAGATCAAGAGTCATCGTGATAAAAAAATCCATCATCCATACCCGGAGACCTCGGAACTGTCCTTTGGTGCCTGGTGTGTCTCCTCACGGAGCCCCTCTTTGAACTGGATGTTTGTTTGGCTGCATCAACTTGCTGTCGTAGAAGCGAAGCCTCACAAACGTAGCGGGCCTGATAGTTATCACATTTTTTGTTGCGCCACTTGTTTTTCTTCTTCACGACCACACAGTTTTTCTTGTGGCCTTTTCTCCGCACGTGCGGCTTGTTGTACTGCCAGTTGTACATGGTGACCGGGTCACCATTTGTGTACTGCCACCTGTTACTTTGGAATTTGTCATTCAATCCTGAAAAGGGAGAAAAATAGCATGTGAGACTGTTTTTAAGTATGGGATGGTGTGGTTGAAAGGTAGAGCATACTACTGCTAACCTATGTCTTGAGTTTGACACTGCAATCAAGTCTAAAGAATCTCCCTGAGTCTACCCAACTCTGATGGGTACATGACTCACGTTAAGGCAGCTGGGCATAGTGCTGACCATACTATCACTTCATATGCCGAGGTCACTGAAACAGGTGAACTCTACTTCACTTGCCCCACCGGACCATTAGGTCCATTGTAAGGCTGATAATGCCATCCTTGTTTTTCAATATCTTTAATTTTCAGAGACAAAGATGAGTATCGTAGGTTGAATAATAAACACATTTTTAAAAATGTAATGACTTTTAGTTATAGTGTTCCTTTCTAAATATGAAAAATATTTTAAAATATAACAAATAATGAGCCTAATGGAGATATATGTCAGTTTTTTTTCTTCTCCTACCTATATATAAGGGAGATAATGTTCAAATGATCTTTGCATAAAAGAAGTAAAAAAATCATACCAATCCAAAACGGCTTCTCAGACATCCTCTCAGAAAGCCACTTCATGTGCTTCAAGTTTCGTATGGTGGTCAGGTGGCCTTGAAACATTTTGACACACTTGTCCTCGGCCTCATCCCAGGCCAGTCTCTCATTCATTGGTTTATAGCAGCGCCCCTCAAACTCAAACCAGCCTGCATTGGGATAGAACATTTTTGTTTTTTTATTATTTGTTACAGCAGCTTTTTGTAAAGGTACTCTTTTTTATGGGACAAAGTCTGGATTTCATTAAAATAAGGTTATATTCTAGTAAATGTGTACCTATATGTTAATTACTGAATTACACTTTACAACTGAAAACTATATTTTAATTATTTAATTACACTTTACATCTGAAAACTGTTTGTTAATTACTTAATTAAACTTTAAAACTGAAAACTATATTTTAATTATTTAATTACACTTTCCATCTGAAAACTGTTTGTTAATTACTTAATTCAACTTTACAACTAAAAATTATATGTTAATTACTTTATTACACTTACAATTGAAAAGTTCAGAGCAGTTGTTTAACCAAGTTGAATATTTACATACTTAATGAAGTTGTAATTTGAAAAACCAAACTAATATCAGCATAAGTCTGACTTAAATAAAGTAGTGGAATTAAAGTCATACTTGGCCACAAAAGAGAAAAACAAAAATTGTTAGATTATTTTGTTAGGTGTTTTTTTTTTTACCTGCGTCACAGACGCCATGAGCAACCCCATCATTTCCCGCACTGGGACTCCAGGCCTGCCACTCTTTGCCATCACATTTGAGCAGCTGGTAATTGAAGTCATCAAACTGCAGAAGATTTTTGGTGGCTGGGGTACACTTCTTCTGGACCTGTGGGGTAGGAAAACATATCTTATACATTAAGTGGAGCAGATTTAAGCTGGCTGGATTAATTGGAGCAGATTTAAGTTGGCTGGGTACATTTTTGCTAACCTTGGTGGTGTCAGAAAAAAAATACATCAAATTTATGTTTAGTGGGGTTTCGTTTGGGCTTAGTTAATCCCATCAATCTATTTAGAACACTCAACATTACACACTGTCTAGCAGGCCATTTTCAGTACACGAGCCGACCCGCGGTGTATCATACGCCGCTATTTAGTTATTTTTTCTACTTTTCAGTAATTCATAATTTGTGAATTCGACAGTACTGATGCAGCCACTGAAAATATTTGCTTTAAAAACACTAACCCCCCCCCCCCCCACCCCCCGTGAAAGCAGCCTCCTCTTAGTTACCTCCTCTAAGTTTAAAATCGTTTCAAACTAAATTATCTGCCCCTAATAGCCGTCACCAAACCCGGCTCTACGATTGTAAACATTTAGCGTGAACCACAGCTCACAAGACCATGTCTAAAGTCTCCAAGAAGAGAATTATATATATAGATTGATTTATTAACAAAAACAGAGAGTTGAAACCTCCGAATTAACACTTTAATAGAAAAATTTTTTTTTTACATTTGACTCAAAAGTATAACATAATTAAAAGTGCCTTTATAAAAAAAGGCTTAAAAATTGTATCTAACACTGAAAGATTTAAAACCAACAGACCTGGTTCACCGCAGTTGACTGTGTATTGATGCCATCCAAATAGCTGGGAGATGTAACATCTAAAACTGAGTTGGACCCTAGAATTTTAATCTCATTTTTTGACGTATTTTGTTTTTTCTTCTTCATTGGTTTCTTCTTTTTATTTTTATTTTTCTTATTGTTATTCTTTTTGCCTTTCTTCTTGGGTTTTTTATTCAGGGGAGCCGATGAGCTCTTGGGTAGTGTGGACGGTGAGGAAGTTTCTTTTGAAAACAGTTTTTTATCAGCCTCTGTGTTCAAGATGTTGCTGTCAAAACTTGAGGGGAGGGAGTTACCTCGACCATTGTTAAACTGTGGTATAAAGAAAACAAAAATTGGAATCTTTAAAATGTACACAACTTGTTTGCTTATAATGGAGGGAGTTACCTCGACCATTGTTAAACTGTGGTATAAAGAAAACAAAAATTAGAATCTTTAAAATGTACACAACTTGTTTGCTTATAATGGAGGGAGTTATCTCAACCATTGTTAAACTAAGGTATAAAGAAAAAATAAAAATCTTAAAAAATATGTATAATTCTTAAGCTTATTTAAAATATAATTTTTACAAGAGAGTTTTTTTTTACCATTTTAAAATCATATAATGAAAAATATAGCATTATATAAATAAAGGCAGAAAAAGCTACATTTGTTAAAGTAAACACAATGTATAGGCTGCTATAAATAAGGAATAACAGTACTGATAAGGTTTAATACTTTGTAAATTTTGAAAATATTTTTAGGATTTAATATAATTTTTACACAACTTGAATGAACATTACTTATGTAGTTATGATTAAGATAATACAAAATTATTATAGTAGCACTTTATATCAGTAAAACAGCAAAGAAAACCCAAATATTATTAAATTAAATGAAATGGGAAACCATTAGTTTTTTTAAACTAACCACTAAGGTATCAATAGGTTACAGTTTTTATAAAAATGTGAAGATATGTTCTGACAACTTCTAAGTGTTGTGTTGTTTTGAATAAGGGTATCATTTAATCCAAAAGTCTTGCCAATTGTTAAACAAAAAGTTACATAAAAGCCTACTTAAAAAACAAAGCTTTGAAAGATGAAAATTACCAGTAGAAACTTACCAGTAGAAACTGATCCCGACCACCTGGGTTAGGAAGTAGCAAACCTCCTTTACTCTGCTGTGTTAGTTCCTCTCCAAGTGAATGTTTGCTCACCATACCCAGATACTGGGGGCATTCCCCTAAACAAAACAATAAGAGATGGGAACTTTGATATCATTTATAAAAAATTTATGTCACATAAAACATACCACATGAGTAATGTAAAACACTGGTATTAAAATAAACTTAATGTTGCACATGTAATGAAACTTAATCCTGCCGATGAAACTAAACTTACACTGCCCAGGAAACTAAATATCTTCTTCTTCTTCGTTCTTAATTATTAGTGTTGAAGGGAATCGAGATTTATCTGCCAGTGGGGTTGAACTCAAGACTGTTCGAATTTATCAACCATGAGCTTTTTGCCGACTCGACCACGCCTCCAACACAATTAAGCGTTACGTGTCAACTGGTTATGCGCCATTGAGGCCATTGACTCCGATTTCAGCCTGCTTTTCTTTTTGGATTTGCTTCCATAGCCTTTGTCCAACCAAGAACAAACTACAAGGCAGCAGTTGTTTAATTTTGGAGTTGTCTCTCCTAGAAGAGTGGCTGTCCCCAGCTAACGAGCCTCATCTGCCCGAGGGTTCGAACTCGAGACTTTTCAGTTTAGCAACCATGAGCTTTACCGACTCAACCACGCCGACCCCTAAACTAAATATGATCCTGCCCATGTAATGAAACTTAACCCTGCCCATGTAATGAAACTTAACCCTGCCCATGTAATGAAACTTAACCCTGCCCATGAAATTAAACTTAACCCTACCCATAAAACTAACCTACCATTGATAGCATTGATTATCAGTATTCTGAGTTTCTTCCTGCTGCCCAGGAGAGTGTTGACAGGGTCCACCAGCGTCAACCTCAGCTTCTTGTTGGGCTCAAACAGCCCATCATCCTTGATGTTCAACTGCCATGTGGCGTGGGCAGTACCTAAACCAAACACAAAATTGTTCTCACAAAGAATGTGCCATTGAATCTGTTCTACCAACAGTTTGATTAGATACAGTCTTAATTACAAGTTAAATTTACTTATCCGCTGTGTGTGAAATACAAACAACAACCTTAAATTTATATTAATTTTTTTTAGGTTGAGGTTAAAGAACCAGAGAAAAAGCTGGAGATAGATATTTTTTTGATGTATTATTGATGATGTATTTCTTTTTCCAACATACCTGACTCAAATCTTATTTGTTTGGCGGAGCTGGGGCTAAAGTCCACTCCCTTTTTGGCCGACTGTTCCCTGACAACAACGTCAACAAAAGCCAGCTGAGCCAGATTTCCTATCCTGGTGACAGTGACCGTCAAGACTCCGACATTCTCACAGGCTACAACTTCCTCCTTGTCAAACTGTGTGCGGGACCAGCTCATTTCAAAGCTTAAAGTAAGACAAAAGTTTATGTCAAATTATTTTGATAGCAGAGTGAAAAAGCGCAAGTAAACAAATTATGGATCCAAATCCATATCTCACATCACTTCTGCATATAACTGAAATATCATATTTTATGATAATAGGAAGACATATTTTGAAAAAAAAACAAAAACACAATAGCCAGTTTTTAAAAGATTAAGTGGGTTGAATTGAAAGAAAATTTCAAAGTCAAATTATAATTTGATATTTTTTTGGTATAAACTGAAGGAGTCTAGGATGTCTCCCCCCCCCCCCCCCCCCCCCCCCCCTGGAGCAATAGCCAGAGATCAACAAAAGGGTTCTTAGTTGATGACCCCCATTTGTCTTGGAAACAAAAAGGAAAAGAAGTAATGATGATGTCAATAAAACAAATTTTAAATGGGTTAAACTGCTAGAGTCAGTCTAAAAAACGTTTTGAAAGAAGCAATAAAGTCTTGTCAGAATATGATTGCAGTAAGATGGATTTGAAATGGATTAAGATAATTACACATATTTGAAATGGATCTAAAGAAATTAGAAATAGATCATAAAAATTAAGACAAAATGGAAATGGGTTAAGAAATTAAAACAGATTTGAAATGGATTAAGAAATCAAAAGAGATTTGAAATGGATTAAGATGTGAAGAGACTGATTAAGATCAGGCTACTTACCGCTGGTTGTCTAAAGTGTTGGCGCGGGAGTCCTCAACTCTAAAGCCAAAAGAATCTGAATAGTGTTCAGCCTGGTCGTCCACTATGTAGACCAGGCTTCCATCATCGATGTCCTTCTGTGTGAACTTATTCCTGACGTAACGTTTGGCTTGAGTGTTTTCCAGATGGCCGTGTTTAGGCTTGGTGGTCATCACATAATACAGGCTGGCACTGAAAATAAAATGTTTTTGATGCAATTCTCTTCCGTTGAGTTTTTCTTATAGATTATTTACTGATAACATATTTTTTGTTGGAAATGGCTATGTAAAGTAATATTTCTTAATCCGACCACAATATAACACTGACTACTCTGATTATATAGTCTATTCAAGAATACAGGCCTAAGTGATGACATGCTAGGGATTGTTCACATTTTAGATAACATAAAAATGGAACCCACCCCCTATCCAATATAATGCAATATAACATTTCAATGGGACACAACTCATAATTGCATTTTTAAAACCTCACACTCCTTCTATTCCTATTAAACAAAACACAGAACAATATGGTAATATTTGATGTTTATCATCTTTAATTCCTTAGACCCCACCAGTCAAACATGAAATAAGATATTTTAATCCTTTAATGTTTTACCCCACCAGTCAAACTTAGGCATTCAAATATTTTACCCTTAGTTTAACTTTAACCCCAACAGTTATGCTTTCAGAATCAGATATTTAAAAAGTTTTACCTATCCGAGTCTGAATCCACAGCTCTGAGTATTTTGTTGGTGAACTTGTAGCCATATTTCTGTTTGCCAAGATGCTGAAGCAGATCTGGACTTTTGTTGACCACTAGTCTAGGAGCATCTTCCACAAGTGGTTGGACAAAAATACTGAAAAAAAATTAAACAGTAAAATATATAAAAGAACAAATATAAAATCTACCAGCTTTGAAAATTTGAGGTATTTTTTTTTTTTGAATCATCATCATTATTCCTGTTAACACCTTGTCGAGTTTAGGAATGCAACAACATTTTTAAGGCCCATGACGTTACAGGATTTTATTTTGAAAATAGTAGTTTAAAATGTTTTTTTATAATTTACAAAACAATTTTTTTTTGCTACAGCACATGTATATATATATACCCAGGAAGACATGGCAATGCAGTGTACCTGAAGAGGCTGAAAGGATAGGAAGGGATTGGGAACAGCTGAAAAGAGTGGCAGGAGGCAGTGGAAAGTGGTAAGCTTTGACAGAGGCCTTATGCTCCGCAGGAAAAAAAAAGAAAAAATGATGATGATAACATGTACATAAAAATGTTAAAAGACTGACATATCCACCAAGTTTGTCAGAAATTAAAGTTTAGTGACATACCCAATAGACTCTAGATCTATCAACTTGTTATAAAATCTCTTGAGCTTATGATTTATAAAATTTTATATTATTACAGAACTGCCCATAATTCTTGATTGTGAAAATTATTTAAACACAAGTTTTGCCAAGACACCCCACTCCCCTCCCAAACAAAGAACTGATTTATCTAAATATGACAGCCAAAATTAGTCAATATAACATAAATTTATGATATAGTTTTAAAATTTTATAATTTTATAAACAAATTAAAAGTTGGCTAAGGAAGCTCAACATTCAATTAAGCTAAGCCTACATTGATTATATTTATCCTGAAAATTTAATCTATTAGTTGTCAAATAGTATAAACAATTCAAAAGTTGGTAGCTGTCATAGACTGGAGATGTATTACACCTGCACATGACAAATATAACACTTCTCATTTTTATTACCTCATCAACCATACATCTGCTACACCTGCTCTAAACAAATGTAACACTTCTCCATTAATTGTATTACCTTGTCCATCAAGCATCAGTTACAGGGCCAAGTAACATTTCTCACTTTCTCACCTCGTAACCAAGTTACACCTGCATGTAACAAACACAACATTTCAAACTTTTAATGACATTACCTCATCATTGCTGGCTGAGACTGCAGGCTGCCGTTGATGAGGAAACCTTCATGGCGCCCATCACTCAGGGTGAAAAGGAAATTGTCTAGACCTGTTGGCAGATAATAAACATCCATGTTTATGATAAACAGACTTTAAAGGTAAAACCTTACACCTGTCTTGTCTTACACCTGAGCTACATTTCACCTGAGAATTTTTTGTATGATGTTTAGGTAAAGTTAAAGCAAACTTTACTAATTGTTGTTTACATTTAACTTCAGCAGGTGTTTTATGGCAAGCCTAAGATAAAACAATGTACATCAACATAGTCTCAAAAAATTTTAATGGTTTATGGGCCTAATCATCAAGTTGAAAATTGAAGATACTAAATGAGTGTCTGTTAACATACGCCTACTAATTACTAAATATTATTGCTATCTTTTAATAACACAATTTTATATTGGATATTGTGTTGTGAATGTAAAAAATTTAATACAAATTGAAGTTTGGCTATGAAAAATGCCTGAATTTAAAAAAATTTAAAGGAAGTATTTAGTATGATTTTAAATATCAATTCTTTTTACACTTGACATTTTTTTTTTTCAAAAATCATATTGCAAAAATATGATGAGAGGTAAAATGTTTTGAAAAACTGGTAGAATAGACAATTGTACAAAAAGTATTAGTTTTGCCAGTAAAATTGTTACTCTAGATTACTATTTACATTTTTTAAAACAAATCTTATTTTATTTAAGTATCTATAAGTCCTTTGATTAAAATGTAAGTCAAAAAACCATTTTTATTTGACGGGATATTATGTATGTGTATATATATATATATATATATATATATATATATATATATATATATATATATATATATATATATATATATATATATATATATATATATATACATATATATATATATAAATAAAAGAATGAACTAAAGCATACACACCTGGCCTTGTGCCATCACTTTCATAGGTTATAAATCCCAAATCAATATCATTCTGCGTGAAGGCAGTAGCCACCAACACACCCCTGTTGTAGAGGCGCCCATAGATGGGCTGCTTGGCAATGTTAAAGGTCACATTATGGGGAGCAGTGTCTGGGTCTGTTGCCTTCAGATGATGTGGGGTTAGAAGCCCCTCCGTACCCTGTGGGGAGATGAATGGGATTCTTTAATAGGGGGGTGGTGTCTTATGGTCAAGCACATGACTACCAGATTAAATGTTCTATGTTGCAATAATAATCATAATGAAATTTCATTACATATCTTTGTGTCCAGCTAGCTCTGTTACAACCATGTTATGACCACACAATCCTCTTATATGCCAAGGCTAATGAAACATATAGACATCTATTTTTCTCAATAGAGCATGATACAGCCCACACCTGCTAACCCAGAAATCTTGTGTTCAATGCTGGTTTACATCCACATTATGTCCTTGAACCCACCTAGCTCTGACACACACCTGACTAAAGCCAGGGAGGGTCAAGCAGATGGGTATAGTGCTGACCACACAATCTCTTCATAAGCTAAGGCTAAATTAACCAAATGAATTCTATTTTATCTTGACCACCAGAGCCATTTTTATTAGAGAGCATACCTGAAGCACTTCCAGCAAATTGTTAGCGTTGAGAGAAGGCAACACTTTGTCCATGGGCTGAATGCTGATCTTCAGCTCCCCGTCCTTGGTCTCACTCAAGCCATTGGTCACTGTGAAGGTGAAGGAGTCCTCTGTGATGTCATTCTTGGCCATGTGGTTGTAGACCACTCGCTGTGCTGTGATGTCCATCTGTGTGAAGCTGCTGATGGGGACAAACTGTCTCTTGATGTTCTCTATTTGCCCTGGAGAAAACATTTCAAGTGCAGCATTTTCAATGCTAAAGTTTATTGTACTTTTTAAAAAAGGAAATCATTTTAATGCAAAATTTTAAAAGCCAAAGTTTATTGTACTTAAAAAAAATATTCTCATGACAGGAATTACAGTACTGATACTGATCAATGTAAATATAATCAGTAGACACAATATTTTTTTTATTTTAACATCCAATCCACACATACCAAGGAATGATCATACACAAAGGCTACTGATTAAGCCATGTGAATGTTAAAATAAAAAAACAGTATTAAAAAAAATATATAGCTTCTGTTACTAAACCATCTAATTCTAATAAATTTAATGTAATAGTGAAGTTCCCATTTTGAACCTGACGGGCAACTGAAGTAGAGTTCACCTCTTTCTGTGATCCTGGCATAGAAAGGGATATATAGTGATTAGCCCAGCCGCTTTTGTGTTCTGCGAGATATGTTGGCAAGGGTTTCATATCAAGGTTTTTCTGTCCATTAATGTTGATAAGAACAGGAATAGCATAGGGATGTTGGCACATTACATTGTTTTGATACACTCTGTAGTCATCCTTCAAAATAACAATTCAGAAGCAGCAAATAAACCAAAATCTTACCTAGACGAGGAGGTCTGATGATTGCGAAGACAAGATTCTCCGCCTTGGTGCTCTCATCTGATGCACTGAGATTTGATGTGCTGATGGCCACTCTCTCCCCTTCCCTGACCACCATCCCCTTGTTCAGCACGGCGATGTTCGCCTTTTTAGCATTTCTTATTCTGATCTCAAATGTCTCCTCGTGTTTCCTGTGGGTCCCATCAGTCAGGACAAAGACAAAGTTATCCTTCTCCGTGTCTCCCATGCTGTTTGTGTGGATGTACCTCACTCGGTTCATGTCTATATCACTCTGGGTGAAATTACTACCCAGCTCAAAATCCTCGCACTGCATTTCCATAGCTGGGGCTTTGGAGTCAGGGCAGTACTGAAGATACCCTTTCTCTGGTACCTCGACCAAAACAAAAGCCAGCTCATCGTCATCGTTGTCTTCATCTTGGGCTTGCAGGACAGTGCTGGTGAGTAGGGCGTAGTCCCCGTATTCAAGTTCAAGTCCAGCGTTCTTTAAAATTTCAGGCCGTTCGTCGTTGTGTAGTTTGATAGAGATGTTGCAAACTGATTTTATTTCGTGTTTCCCGTCTGACACAGTGACGGCAAACTTATCCGTGAAGACTTCGGATCCGTCATGCTTGTACATCAGCTGCTTACCGTTCTGGATCTCATCCACGGTGATACTCTGGACATCAGACTCGACAATGCCACGGCGCGTGTTGACCAGCACGACAATCTTACCATGAGCAGGGGGTTGGGAGATGGTGATCTTCAACTGATCCTTCGGCACATCTAAATCAATGGCGTCCAGCATTGAGGGACCAATGATCATGTTCCCGCCCTCCACCACATTGAAATCATTCAACATAAGATCAGGTACTTCGTCGTTAGCCGGCACAATAGTCACCTTAATTGTTTTATGGTCAGAGTTCAACTTCCCGTCACTGGCGTAGAACTCAAACTCATCTTTATCTGGCTCAACACCTTTATGATTAGCTTGGACGTAGTTGATAGAACCATCTAGAATATCCCCGTAGCTGAAAGAGTTGATACGGATTCCAACGTTCTTCTTGTCTGAACCAGGGCTGGGTTTTGTGTTCTCAATGTAGCCCCACTGGGGCTGCTTGGTGATCATGAACTGAATTTCCTTCGTTTTGGAGTCGGGGTCTGTCACTGTGAGAACCTCCTGGCTGAACCTGAATGATTCGCCTTCGGCCACAAACACAGGGCTGCCGAGAGTGATCTCTGGTTTTTGGTTGTTGACCGGTGTGATGGTGATGTTCAGGTCATACGACGGCATGTCAGCAGATGCTAGGTAGTTCTGGTTGGATATGATGAATGTTGCGTAATCTTTCAATGTTGAGGTGCCTATTTCACCACTTGTGTGGAGGAAGCTGACGAATCCATTTTTGACATCACCCTGGGTGAACTTGGTTGCTGGCTGACCTTTCAGTTGAAGGACACCATATCTGGAAAAAAGAATAGTACTTTAGAAAAAAAATCAATAATTCAATTAACAGCGCATTTTGTCTCAATAACTATATGGTTAAAATTTACATCATAAATTTGTTTTAATTTAGTTTTATTTGCACTGTAGATACAAGTTCAACTAACAAAATTGTAATTAAATCATAACTGAAGTGTGTAATTTTTTTTTAAAAAGGGGCTGTGCTGCACAAAAAGTAGGTGGTCACCTGGGCTGTTTGACAATGAGAAAAACCAGACTTTCATCATTGGTGTTCCCATCTGAAGCGGCAACAATTCTTGTTGTGATAGAGGTTTCCTCCCCTTCTGAAACAATCAGCTGTGGTCTCAAATTCTTGGAAAGTGTTGGTGTCTTGTCATCAATGGGCACTATCTGTGTTGGCCAAATGGGGAGGGAAAAAAGTGTACCGTTTATTGCATGACGAACAATAAATAATTATAAATTAATATATCAATAATTAAAAAATTCAATCACAAAAAATTTAATTGTATTGCTAAAGATAAAAAAATATGTTAGTCAAAGTAACCGGGGCAGCTTACAACAATTAACTAAGTGAAACTTAGTTCAATAAAAAGGATATAAAAAGAGAAAAAAAAAAGCACTGTTCTTATCAGTGTGCAATTAAAATAAATAATTTTTTCTCCTTATTAATTGTCAAAATGAATCTACATCTGCTTACAGTAATAGTTATAACTTTAGTAGCTTGGTTCATGCCATCTGTAAGGGCTAAAGTAAATGTGTCCAAAAGAGCATCCGATCCATCATGCAAATATCTGAAATCAAGCCAAAACTGTTCATTCAATAATTCTACTAACTTTATTACATTATTCTAAAAGCAAAATAACTTTTACTACTAAGAATCAAAGCTACTTGCCTAATGTGTTTTTTCTGTATATCTTCTAAAAGAAAAGATGACCCTGTTCTCAACATTCTGCCGTCATTCTGAAGAGTTCCATACTTGGGCGGAGAATCCAGGATGAACTTCAACATAGGCAGGGGCGTGTCTACATCTGCAGCTGACAGCTGATTGATGGTGATGCTTAGGATGCCACTTTGCTCAACGAGTAGTTTGTTGGTGACAAACTCAGGAACATGATTGTTGACTGGGTTTACCTAGACAAATACAAAATTTGTTATTGTGACGAACTCTTCGAGTAGTTAATTGGTGAAAAACTATGGTACATGATTGTTGACTGGATTCACCTAAACAAATACAAAAATTGTTCTTGAAACATGACTGTAAAATAAAACAATTTTGTAAGGTTATTTTTTGCTACGGTCAGGGTAGCAAGAATACCAAAATGGTTATTTTGAACACTTGCTATCAACATTCACACAAGTAGGTAAACGAACAGAAATTGATTTTCACAATATGTTTAAACAATGTCTACTTTGATTTTAGTTTTTAAATATTTTTTTTAGTGATTGGAGACAGGACCAGTTATACACTAACTGTATAACTCAATAGCCACTCAACTAGCTGAAATCTACTCAGCCCTACATTTGATAATTTGTGTAGATCATTAAATCTTAAAGATTAAAAAAGGCTATATTTTAAAAGTTAATTAGAATTTTAGTGAAACCTATTTCCCCATTGTATCAGTATTTAGTGTTTACTGTACTATTTGTTTATTTTTTAAATTTAATTGGCCATTCTGTCCAATAACATTTTTTCATTGGTAATTGTTATTAATTATATATTTATTATGATGTGAAAATTTTGTATTTTTTAAAATGTTGATATTTTACAAATTGTACAGTGTAAGCTAAAAAATTGGATTTGTTAGAAAATTTGAGAAACATGTGATGTAATAATAATTACAGCATGAATTGTAATTCAAGAAAAATGCATTACATTTAAAATATTACTGCTACAGATTTTTACCTCAATATCAAATGTTTGCCCATACAGTTTATTGCCACTTCCATCTTCCACTGTGTACGCAAGCCGCACCAACCTCGATTCAGGCCCAATATCAGCCATGGGTGGAATGTAGGCTATTTTCTGCTGGTCTATGTCCTCTTGAGTAAAACGTGTAACTGCAAATCGATTTTTAAAAAATGCTTATGTAAGGCTTTTTAATAATATATTAAATACATGAAAAGTGAAATTTTGTATTAGTTGTTTCCCTTGGTATAACATGGAACTTTAACTTTAATTTTACTTTTGCATTTTATTTTTCCTGCAACTTTATGAAATGAAAATGTTAAACAGAATAAATATAGATCTAGAATCTATGTTGTTTTCTTTGGCTAACTTCAGCGTTATAAAAAATAAATCAAGGATAATAATTCTAACCAGATGGGGCGTCTGTGTTTTTTTCTACTTTTGAGATGTTGTGTGTGGCAATGAGTTTTCCCGCGTCTCTGTCTCCTCGGTTGTACACGAAGTAAGGCGGGGTAGTGATGGTGTAGGTAAGGTCTTTGCTGGGTGACTCGACATCTGTGTACTTCAGCTCAGTTGATTTGATGTAACCAATGTTTGTCTCTTCAACGTACATGATTCGTTTAGCTGAGGGAAAAATTCATACTTTTGGTAAACAGATTAGACAATTTTTTTAAGAGTAGCTTCCCCTTGATTAAGGGATACTTGTGAAGTTTACTAAATTTAGAGGCTGGGTGAGTTGAAATGCCGGAGGAAGGGGGCGAGGATGGCGTTGGGAAATCGGATCTTCCCATCACCTGGGTTTATGTTAAGCTGGAGATAATGATAAGAAGTGTGAGAGGGGGCTCGGTGAGCAATCGTTAAGGCACACAAATTACACGTGCGTGTCAAGGTCAGCGATGGAACCAGCGAAGTAAGAGAATTTCATTGTGTGAAATTTTCGTCGTGTGAAACCTCTCAACCGCCTGACCTTTCAAAGCTTCCCTGGTCTCCCCCTCCCCCTCAATCCCAACCCAAAAGCCCTATGTTTGTCGTGCCATCTGCTGGTATCTTTTAATCTCTGCCTGCATCAAATCTAAGACACTTCCCGTTTTAAAATGTCTCCAGGTTTTTCGAGCCCACCACCCACCCCCTAAAATAGCACCGAAACACTAGCGCGCCCCTCAAGAGAAGATAACCGATAAATTACATTTCACACCAGAGAAGATCGCCCCTTGCTATGACGGTAGTGTCCCCTTCCCCCTTGGGGCCATTTGATACGAAAACTATTGCTCATCGATGTTTTTCCCGCCGTTATTTTTTCTACATTATCATCCGGGGCCGAGACGGTCGTGGTTGATGAGTGGAAGGGGAGGGGGGGGGGGGGAAGGGGAATTCAAATAGTAGAACGGATAATGCCTGTCCTGCCAATCGTAAAAACTAGGAAAGTGTCGGTTAAGGTTAGGGTTTTAACCCCAAGATAGTTCGAACGATCGGTCGTGTGAATAAGTTGCCGGGACGATAAGAGAAGCGTCGTAAATCATTTGAGTTCATTTACTTGAGAGGGGGAGGGGGGATGGTTTTAGTGGGTGGAGGAAGGGGATTTTACGTTCTGAGAACAAGCAAACGTTTCATTGGGGACGTACGCCTATCACTATATCGTTAGCATCAGGTTTACATAGTGAATTGGACACACGGTACTAAATGGAGGGAGTTTTTTACACGGTGACACCGTACTGGCTATATTTAGCTTTTCTACCAGGTGACAGCGTACTCGTTACGTTCTTTATTGTAGCGACTTAAGTTACTCCAAACTAGAAACCCAAAATGCTGGCAAATGCTTCCCCACCACCGCGCCAAATCTCTGTTACACTGGCATAAGGGTTCGAGTCATGCAGACAGCAACAGAGTGAAGGGCGTTTCTGATGTTGCTGGTGGTAGCGATCGGTCTGTTTCCATTGAGATTGGTAAGGGGTCATCCATTTATGACGTCCACAATTTTTTTGGATTTTGGACCCCCCCCCCCCGTCCACAAAATCCACTTTTTTTCCCCTTATACAAGTCCATATGCGTCCACAAAAGTCAGTTTTTATCGGACCCCCCCCCCCCCCCCCCGCGTGTGGACGTCATAAATGGATGACCCCTAACAACTGGTGCTCAACAGGCGTTGAGTAGTATGGGGAGGGGGGGAGGGGAGAGTGGCGTAGCGAGGTCAGGTGTCACCCCCCCTCCCCCTCAAACTTTTGATTTGCACCTTTTAAAAGACTATTTAACACTCGAATTAATCACTTAATTAAGTGGAATTATCATTTTTCTCTCTATATTTTGCTATTTTTGGCCTTGGTGTCACCCCCCTAAATGGGGAAAGACATACATACTAGGGATCGTCCCATTGTTGAAATTGATGAGCTAAAATGTCCTAACTTTATTTCTGCATTGTAAGGTTTTTTTTTTCCTTTTTATATAAGCTAACTTTAATCCAGTACTGCAAGTATTTTTTTTCCCATCTAAGATAAACAAGCATACGAAAAATTTATATTAAAAAAATATCTCTTGTGTCAAATACATTTCAAAAAACATCACATTAGATATGAAAAGAATTTCGAAAATACATATTTTGAAACATCAGAATTTCCGTGTCGACAGTAGGGTGGGGGGCAATGTTCCCTCTAAGCTGCGTGGTTGCGCAGTCGCGCAGTAGTTTTGAGCTGCCGTGAAGTGATTTTGAAAAATAAATATATCCTTGTATAAGACTTTCAGAACATCGCGCACAGAAAATGTATTTTGCACACTAGCTTTTTCCACTTGGAGGGAATATTGGTGGGGGCGGGTGGGGGAGGTGTGCTCCACCACTTGAGCACGGGTACTGAGCACGTGACCCGGGTGCCGAACATGTGACCAGGTAACGTGACTGAGTAACAAACACGTGACCAGTGTTCCCTCTAAGCTGCGTGGTTGCGCGGCCGCGCATTACTTTTGAACCTGCCGCGCAGTCCTTTTGTGAAAAATGTATAGCCTTGTATAAGACTTTTTAAACACCGCGCACACAAAATACAAGTTACACACTAGCCTTTTACCCTTAGACGGAATATTGCACGTGACCAGGTAACGTGACTGAGTAGCGATCACGTGACCAAGTAACTAACACGTCATCAGGTAACAAACACGTGACCAGGTAACGAATACGTAGCCAAGTACGACTTATGGCTACGCCAGCATACGCTCTACGACGCGACCACTTAAAAAAAAAAGTTCTCTATTTTCTTGACCCCTGAACTGTTTAACTCACCGCTGGGGTCTATGTGCGGAGGGTTCTCATTCATGGGCGAGATGGTGATCTGGAACTCCATGGCCTCTGACTCGTTGGGCGGGTCCTGGTGGTCCTGGACCGTGAAGGTGAAGGCATCCTTGAACACCTCCTCGCCGTTGTGACGGTAGTAGATCTGACCTTTGACCACGTCACGCTGACGGAAGCCGAAGATTTTCGTGCCGGCGTCGGAGGGTCGGATTTTTCTGACAAGACAAGTTCAGTTGTTAATTATTCAAGTTAAAAATCAATTGTTCTGTCAAGACAAGTTTAGTTGTTAAATATTCAAGTAAAGAATTAACTTTTTCCGTCAAGACAAATGTTCAGTTGTTAAATATTCAAGTAAAGAATTATGTTTTTCTGACAAGACAAATGTTCAGTTGTTGAATATTCAAGTAAAGAATTAATGTTTCTGCCAAGGCAAATGTTTAGTTGTTAAATATTCAAGTTAAGAATTAACTTTTTCTGCCAAGACAAGTGTTCAGTTGTTAAATATTCAAGTAAAGAATTAAGTTTTTCTGCATGGCAAATGTTCAATTGTTAAATATTCAAGTAAAGAATTATTTTTTTTGCCAAGACAAATGTTCAGTTGTTACATATTCAAGTAAAGAATTAACTTTTTCTGACAAGGCAAATGTTCAGTTGCTAAATATTCAAGTAAAGAATTAATATTTTTTACCAAGGAAAATGTTCAGTTGTTAAATATGCAAGGAAAGAATTTACTTTTTCTGCCAAGACAAATGTTCAGATGTTAAATAGTCAAGTAAAGAATTAACTTTTTCTGACAAGGCAAATGTTCAATTGTTAAACATTCAAGTAAAGAATTAATTTTTTTTGCCAAGACAAATGTTCAGCTTTTAAATATTCAAGTAAAGAATTTTTTTTTTTGCTAAGGCAAATGTTCAGCTTTTAAATATTCAAGTAAAGAATTAATATTTTTTTCTGACTAGGCAAATGTTCAGTTTTTAAATATTCAAGTAAAGATTTATTTTTTTTACCAAGGAAATGTTCAGTTGTTAAATATTCAAGTTAAGAATTAATTTTTCTACCAAGACAAATGTTCAGTTGTTAAAAGTATTACTAGTTCTGCCCAGGCAAAAGTTCGATTGTTATTTATTCAAGATAAGAATTAATTTTTTCTGAAAAAGCAAATGTAAAATTGTTAAATATTCAAATCAAATGTAAAATTGTGAACCATTGAAGTCAGAAAGAATTAAGATTTTTTTTTTATCAAACGTAAAATTGGTAAACAAACCATATGTAAAATTGATTGTTGACTTTTTCTTGTCAATATGCCATTATTAAATTCAAATAAAATGTCAATTTCCTTACTGATAAATTTTAAAAATTAAAGTAACGGACAAACAAGTTTTAAAGCTAATTTTCGACATGTTTATATTTCTTCAAGAAGAAATAAAAAGATTTCCTTTGAAAAATTTCGAGAGAAATTTTGCTCCAAGCATTTTTTGTCAACAGCTATCATGGAAAGATCGTCCATACAAATTGAATCCCATTTATTTCCTGCTATTGAATGAAACCGGAAACGGTGATGCGATTTAAAAAAAGAAGTTTTCTTTAGAATTCGGGTTCCTTTAATGGAAGTTTTGATAGAGAAAAGAGACAAATTTTAAGAAATAAACATTCAGTTTTTTACGAGTTTCAAATTTCAAATGATTGACAAATTAAGACGAAATTTAAGAAGCAAAATTCAATGAATTCATTTATTGTTGTCAGAAAATTAAATAGAAAATACTCGCATGATTTAATAATTTTTGTAAGTGCTGTTAATTTATTCAGAATCATATAGCCTTTAGAAGTTTATAGGCCTATTATCCTTAATATCAAAAGGGAGGCGATTTTCTACATGAGTTATCAAATTTCAAGTTTTTATGAATTCTCCAGACCTGATGATGTCCCCTGCTTTTGGCGACGTGACGATCGTGTACACAATATTGTTGTCCAACGAATCCGAGTCGTGTGCGAGTAGCATGTCCTCACTGATCTTCCTGATCCCGCCCTCGTTGAGCTGTAGGCCGAGGTTGTTCACCAAATATGGCGGCGTGTCGTCACGTGGGATGATGGTGATGGGAAACGAGGAGAGAACCGTGTTGCTGCCGTCACTGATGCGGAGCTCGATTCTATCTCTAGTGGCGATACATTATTCATATAGTTACACATAGAAAATCAATGTTCAAACATTTAAATCACACAAAAATAAATTTAATTGAAACCATCTGAAATAGAAAAAACCCTCCCCGCGACAAAAACAAAACAACATAAAAGTAATTGCGCTTTAACCTTAGTTTGCTGTCAATGTGTTTATTATTATCTCTATTACCCAATGCGGCCAAGTTTTAAAATAGCACGAATTGCGCTTCACTCCGTGGGTTTAGTTAGGGTTGCCAGGTGTCCAGTTTTGAACTGGACAGTCCAGTATTTGAGCAGACTGTCCAGGATAAAATAAATATAAATACTGGACAAGTATATGAATAATACTCTGTTACCCCCCTTCTTCTGCTTTGCGGCATACCTGAGAAGGGAAGGATGGAAAGGTGTCCAGTATTTTCGGAAAAGGTATCTGGCAACCCTAGGTTGAGTAAACATCTATACAAACAACTAAGTAAATCTGAAATGTTGAACTATTGAAAATAATTAAAATTTGCGCGATTCCTTCTCTGATATCGACGTTGCATCTATCGAGCCTTGTGATCCACCGTGCAGATGAAGTAGAATTCATCTGTTTCTGTGACCTCGGCATTGGAAGTGATAGTGTGGTCAGTACTACTTTCCCTCAAGGGAGTCAGGTACCCAGACTGAGCGGAAATCACTGTAAATCAGGAACTTCTACGTACGCAAGCCCGGGATCTGAACTCGAGACTTCCGGGATAGCAGTCGTACGCTCTACCGTCCTACCACGCCGTACCTTATAATCCACTATCTGACTAATTAACTTCTCGAAACCCTACCCTTTACTTAATTTGAAAATGTTATTTTAACAAATTTTGTTAATGATGTAATCGTAACCTTTCAGTTTCAGACAGAACCTAGCCCCCAACCACAACAAAACAAGACAGCAAGCAACCTTTGACCTTTATCAGCGATTGGTTCTAATGGCGTACCTCGTGGAGTCGCTATCATCATGTTTATAAATAACATGGCCGGCCTCGATGTCCTTCATGGAGAATATAACAGAGTGCTTGCCCCTGACGGTAATGGTACCGTGATTAAGTCCCCCTTTGACGTACATCCGGACCTTGTTTAGGTTGTCTTTGTCCACGACCTGGGGAGAAGGGTGGGTTAACATTGTACGGGAATCACGTGGTGTATTCGTGTCAAGTGGCTGATAACACGCTGTGTGAATTACACGTCAGAGACTTTGGATAGTGTTGTCGGCGTCACGTCAGGTGTTGTGTGGATGACGTCAGAAGTTTTACTGACGTCATAAGTTTTGCTGACGTCATAAGTTTTGATAAAGTCATAACACGTCACCAGTCTGGCAGAAGTCTTTTTTTTTTCTTCGTAGGTTTTGTTTTGCTGATGTTATAACTTCTGCTGACGTATTTCGTCAGAAGTCTTCCTGCCGTCTGATGTCTGTCTTTCTAACATCAGAAGTCTTGCTGAAGACAGTAAGTCTTGATGAAATCACGTCACAATCTCGCGAATATTCAGAAGAAACTTCCTGCATTAATGTCACGTTAGAAATATTGTTACATTGTTTATCTATAAATTATGTCAGAGATCCTGTTAGCGACCTGCAAGATGTGTGTGAGTGTCACGTCAACGTGATTTTAAAAAAAATCGCGCCAGACACCATTTGCGTGAATGTCACGGTAGTTATTTGCTACTGTCACGCTAGAAGAAACCACGTCGGCGTCACGCTAAAAAGCTGGTCGATGACCTGAGTGACGCTGCCGTCTGAGATCACGTGACCGTGCTGCTAGAGACCACGTGACCGTGCTGCCACAGACCACGTGACCCTGCTGCCAGAGACCACGTGACCTAGCTGCCAGAGACCACGTGACCGTGCTGCCAGAGACCACGTGACCGTGCTGCCAGAGACCACGTGACCCTGCTGCCACAGACCACGTGACCACTGAGCTCACCTGGAACTGCTCCGCGCTGATCTCCCTGCTCTGCCCCTCCAGCAGGGTGAGGCCGGTGTTGATGGAGACCCTGGGGGCGGTGGTGTCCGCTGGCCTGACCGCTATGTGCAGGGTTATCGGCATGCTCTGGAAACATAAACCAATTGTTACAGGCATGTAGTGGTGCTAGGGATTCAGGTATTACTAAACTTTATTTTTTTAAATGTGGGTTTTCTTAAATAATTGCTTTTTAAAAAATATAAATCGAAGATTAGGTGTGAAATGAAAAAAAGTTTTCAAAATGTGTCTTCATTTTTTTTAGTTTTCTTGAAAATGTTTGATTTAGTGAATTGGTAGCATGGAGTTGTAAGGATGTACTACCCTTGAATTTGCACAAGTCTGTTGTTGTATTTTAGTAAAGAAATAGCTTTTGATGTTTCTCTAAAAAAAAACTATTGATTTTAAAATCTTTTGTTAGTACTTTTTTGGTTTAGTGGGTAAGAACTTTATTTTAAAAATCTATACTGGAACGCCCAAGATAGATTTCCCAGGACAAAATGGCTGTCAGCGTCTTAGATTTACCAGGGCAAAATGGCTGTCAGGGTCTTAGCTTTACCTAGGCAAAATGGCTGTCATCGTCTTAGATTTACCTGGGAAAAATGTCTGTCAACACCTTAGATTTACCTGGGCAAAATGACTGTCACCACCTTAGATTTGCCTGGACAAAATGGTTGTCATCGTCTTAGATTTAGCTGGGCAAAATGGCTGTCACCACCTTATATTTACCTGGGCAAAATGGCTGTCAGCGTCTTAGATTTACCTGGGCAAAATGACTGTCACCACCTTAGATTTACCTGGGCAAAATGGCTGTCAGCGTCTTAGATTTACCTGGGCAAAATGACTGTCACCACCTTATATTTACCTGGGCAAAATGGCTGTCAGCGTCTTAGATTTACCTGGGCAAAATGACTGTCACCACCTTATATTTACCTGGGCAAAATGGCTGTCAGCGTCTTAGATTTACCTGGGCAAAATGACTGTCACCACCTTAGATTTACCTGGGCAAAATGGCTGTCAGCGTCTTAGATTTACCTGGGCAAAATGGCTGTCAGCGTCTTAGATTTACCTGGGCAAAATGACTGTCACCACCTTAGATTTACCTGGGCAAAATGGCTGTCAGCGTCTTAGATTTACCTGGGCAAAATGACTGTCACCACCTTAGATTTACCTGGGCAAAATGACTGTCACCACCTTATATTTACCTGGGCAAAATGACTGTCACCACCTTATATTTACCTGGGCAAAATGACTGTCACCACCTTAGATTTACCTGGGCAAAATGGCTGTCAGCGTCTTAGATTTACCTGGGCAAAATGACTGTCACCACCTTAGATTTACCTGGGCAAAATGGCTGTCAAAGACAACAAACTCCGAGTCGTAGACCCTCTGGTCCGGGTAGCTGACGCTGGGTGGCCTGTAGGCGATGCGGTTGTTGACCAGGTCATCCTGCAGGAAGGAGTGGATCGGCTTGGCGTGGTTGTCCAGGTGCACCAGGTACCCTTTGCCCTCGCCGAACGGCTTGGTGATGTTGAAGATGAGGTGCTTCTTCTTCGTCTCGTAGTCCTCGGCCGAGATGATGCTGGGCGTGATGGGCGTCAGCACGAACTGGTCCACGTCCATCATGTTCATGTTGAAGAAAGAGGCGTGCGGCGGGGAGTTCTGGAAGGCGCCCTTGATGTGGATGGGCAGGTAGAACCGCTCGGAGATCACCTCATCACTGACGGCCGGGTCGTAGACTTCCACGCTCAGGGGGAGGTAATCCACATCCGGGGTGGGAGACCGGATGTGCTCGTAGTGCAGGTTCATGAAGAGGAACTCCCGGCAGTCTTTTTTGACAGAGTCCACGACCTGTCGCTTCTCGACCATGACGATCTGCCCGGCGACCGGCCAGGGGGAGAAGAAGGTCGAGAAGCCGACCACGCAGGAGACGTTTTGACTGGAGCTGTGCTTGAACCTCAAGGCGGTCGAGTCTATCGTGTTGGACAGACCGTTGTACTCCGGCACGACCAAGGGACGTAACCCCTGCGTCGTGATGATATCGTGGGAGGAGTTGTTGACCTTGATTTTGAGCAACACCGGCTCTGTCACGGTGGAAGTGTCCGTGAATTTATGCACCAACAGCCGGACTGTGTCTTTTTGCAACAACGGGGAACCGTTGTGGATATACTGGACTGTCTTTGGTAAAAAATCGCAATCGAAGATCTGAAATTAAAAAAAAAAAGATAACGTTAATCACGCAGACGACAAGCCAACAGGTGTTTGTTAGTTCCCCAGCAGACGAACGACGTTGTTGAACGGATTACGCGGGACGACTCCGTCCCCCCCCCCCCTCCTTCCCCCACCCCGCCCTCACGCCTCGAGCTTTGTTGTTTGTCGGCGTTATTTGCATAAACACGGCCGCCTTAAGAATGTTCTCCACGTCTGGTCAAACTTGTCACGGCCCTAAAAGCCCCCCAAAGCACAGAGCAAATGGCGAGTAGCGAACCTGTCCGCGCGCGTCAATGTTTCGAGGCTGGAAAAAAAAAGTAGATACATTGAACCAGCTTGTATCCGGTCTACCGCGTCTCGCGTTATCTTAGACATCTCGAGAAAAAAAGGCTCTTAAAAATAGAGGAGTATATCACGTAGAGGCGGTGGTGTTAAATGTTTACATGGAACATTATATCTGTTGGAGCTAAATTTACAATACAGATGTGTGGTACGGCATGGTGGGGAAGTAGAGCGCACATCTGCGTACCCAAAAAAATCGCACGTCTGGTTCTTGTAAGCGAAGCCGTAGGATCTTTATTCAACTCTAATGGGTAACTGGCGCTAGTTAGGAAAAACTTAAGTAGCTGGCCATATATCTGACCACTGACCACACTATCCTTTTAGATGCTGAAGCCAAACTAGGTTATGATTTAATGATATAATTACTTCCCATTTGTGAAAACCAAACACGTACGTTAACGACGGGTAGCAAATCGGTCCAGATTCCTAGCCCATAATATTATAGGAATTATCCCTAAGCTCTTTAAATATAGCTACAACAATCGAATTATTAATTACAAACAATTTTGTTGCTAAATGGGGAGTATAATTATGTACTATGCAAAATTTATACTTTTACTATTGTCCGGCAACCCCCCCCCCCCCCCACCACCCCTCTCGAAAGTGCCCCCAGCCATTCGGAGAAAAATATTTGAAAGAAAACAAATGTATATTAATTTTGGGTACAAACTGACTCTACAATTACAACATCTTCACCAACCACCAAACCAAACTGACTCTACAATTACAACATCTTCACCAACGGCCACACCAAACTGACTCTACAATTACAACATTTTCACCAACTACCAAACCAAACTGACTCTACAATTACAACATCTTCGCCAACCAACACACCACACTGACTCTACAATTACAACATCTTCACCAACGGCCACACCAAACTGACTCTACAATTACAACATTTTCACCAACTACCAAACCAAACTGACTCTACAATTACAACTTATTCCAAACGGCCACACCAAACTGACTCTACAATTACAACATTTTCACCAACTACCAAACCAAACTGACTCTACAATTACAACATCTTCACCAACGGCCACACCAAACTGACTCTACAATTACAACATTTTCACCAACTACCAAACCAAACTGACTCTACAATTACAACTTATTCCAAACGACCACACCAAACTGACTCTACAATTACAACATCTTCGCCAACCAACACACCACACTGACTCTACAATTACAACTTATTCCAAACGACCACACCAAACTGACTCTACAATTACAACATCTTCACCAACTACCAAACCAAACTGACTCTACAATTACAACATATCCACCAACAACCAAACCAAACTGACTCTACAATTACAACTTATTCCAACCACACCAAAAAATGTCGACTGACAACACGACGACGGAGACATTTTAGCACGTTGTTAAACCCGCGCTTTAACTTAGGTGTTAACTTTCGCAGTATTTCAAGCACCACCGCCCCCTCCCCCTTATACCCCCTCCGCCCCCTTCCCACTCCCTCTTACAAAACCTCCCCCTGTCTACCCTAATCTTCCAATGGTGCGGGAAGTCCCGATAACAGAAGGGGGGTATCGATGAAAGGGAGCAGAGGTGTGTAAATTAAGGGGGTGTAGGGGTGGGGGTGGGGGAGGTGCCCCCGACTGGAGGGGGGGGGATGCGGAGCGTTGTTGTTTATCAGACTCGGTCAGGAACAAGCATATGGTTTTCATTTTCTCGAACTTGTTAAATCCCACCACTTTTATCCGGTCAAATCCCACTTTTATCTTGCTAAGCGCCACCAATTTACCTAGTTAAATTCAGTAAAACCCAATTAAAATATTAAATACCACTAATTCATCTGTTTATAAACGAGAGATTTATGTTTTTTTAAATGCTACCGATTCAATTTGTTCAATACCGTCAAATACGATTTTTATATAAAAAATCACATTGAATATCACCAAATCATTTAGTTTTTAGGTGCTACTAATGTATTCGGAAAAATTCAAATACAATTTGTAGCAGGGTGTAAGAACCACACGATTAAACAAGTGGAGAGATATGATCTGTAGATCATATGTTTTTGTGTTTTGTAGAACAGAAACATAACTCACAATGCTTACATTTTAATATATATAAAGTAGAGAATCCTCCTTAGAGGCAGCGATCCATTGGGCAGATGAAGTAGAGTTCAAATATTTGTTGACCTCGGCATATGAAAGGAATGTATGGTCAGAACTTTGGCCAGCCGCCTTTACTTTCCCTAACATGAGCTAGGTACACATACAGCTGGATGAACTCGAGGACGTTCTACTGACTTGGACCCGGATTCGAACTCGAGACTTCGGGTTAGCAGCCTAGCGATCTAAATTCATCTGAAAATCCAGATATTTAAGTGCCAGGCCTGTACATCATGAGTCATTATAAGCTCTGGGGCTTTAACACCACTAGTGTTATCATGAGCATTAGGGCATCCCGCCACGAGAATCATCATGAGCTTTAGGCATTAATACTTAACATCATCATGAGCAATATCATTCGCATTAGACTAAGCCTTCATAAACTTGTGCTTTTTAGAAATATCTATAGACAGTATGGTATTTTGAAGCTAAAATGTAGCACTAAAACCCTTCATTATAATACATTTAAAAGTAGATAAATTACAAAGACGAAATCGAACTAGGCAGTTTGAACGAAACAAGAGCAGAGCACTCGAGGGTAATGAGGTCGGTTAAAAAAAAATGAAGCGAGGTAACTCGGGAACAAATGCGAGGATTCGACTACCGCGAGGAGCACCAGTGAAAGACTGCGAGTAGCTAGGTTTTTAAGGATCGATATAAGGAACAAAAAGTGAGATCGAAGCCTCTAAATTTAGACCTTGTCAATGGCGACTGTGCTACGAATGCTAATAGGGGAATACGGTGTGGTGTGAAAAAGAACTTGGAGGACATTTTTGGGGTTAAACGTGTAAACTTAGTTTAATTAAACAGGAAAATTAAAAAGATAACTGCTCACATTCTCGTAAAAACTGGTAATTTAGAAAGTAATTGTTCCGCTGAAAAATTATTATCTTGAGACAAACGTTTAGAAATTTTTTTTTCTAAATATTTCAGTTGTTAGGGGAAAAATTATATTCGATTGTTATAATTGTACACAAAAATGATTATATTAATTCTAACTAATTAAAAAAAAACAGATTATCTATAATTTGTTTATAATTACAAGGAAAGAAATAATTTTAATTTTTTTTTTCGAATTAATTTTTTTTTACTTTTACCACTATTATTAAGTTGTTTATTACTAAAGTTGCGAAATCTAACGATGAAACGGCAAAGAAATATAATAGTTTGAGATTAAATAAATTGAATCTTTAATAGAGGATAGAAAAGTTGGCATCTTTTTAAACATGAATTAGTTACACGATTACTTTCCCTTTCCAGAATGGTTTTTATCTCTCATTATAATCGCAGACGATAAAGTTTAGTCACATAGATGTGATTACCGCCCCTAGAATCTTACACTATCTATGTAATTACCGCCCTTGCAGTCAATTACTACCATCGTGATTACTGACCTTGCAGTCAATTACTACCATCGTGATTACCGCCCTTGCAGTCAATTACTACCATCGTGATTAACGCCCTTGCAGTCAATTTATAACATCGTGATTAACGCCCTTGCAGTCTAAATAAAGCCAGTGATTACTGCCCTTGTTGTAAAATTTAAAAAAAAAACCCAAAACAAACTGCACTGTTTTGAAACTCGAGTAGAAAGAAAACAAAAAAAAACGAAAGAAAATTGACTTGAAACAGAACTTGACTTTTATAAATTTCGTTTCGACGCCGGACATGTTTTCAACTTGTAGCTAAAAACATTCCCCTCACATGCTTAATTTGACTCTCATGTTGCAACGTACTAAGTACCCCTTTAAACCTCCCCAAGTACCCATCAAGCACCCTCTTACACGACTTAAACCTCGTTCTAATCCTGATTCAGTGTGCACACCGGCGAATTTTTATTTTACCGTCCAAGAATTCCGTACTTCCGGTTTTTACTTCTCGTAAGATGTCAAGAATTGAAAAGAAAGTAACGATCACCCAGCCGTAATGGACAGGAACGGGTTTTCTTTCCCCCGGGGGTGTAGTCGCTGGGACCAGGAGATAAGCTCTGACGTAGCATTCAGCCGGGGACTGTGGTTCTGCCGGGTCCGGCTCGCGCCTTTTCGGTGTTGCGTTTTCCGGGTCAAAGAGGTTGTGTGCCGGCACTTAATGTAGGGATTACTGTGGTTCCCCGTCGATGTGTTGTACTGGCAGCCTGATGTATTACATGCTTCGATCCAGGCCTTATGTGACAACATTGATGAAATGTGCGTGTGGAGCGTTGTGTTGTGTATTTGATTGATGGCTTATGAAGAGTATGTGATATGTTATGTGGCAAATTTAATCATTTATGAGTATAGAGGGATGTGTGGTGTGGTTTGATGGATGACCTATGTGGAATATACGATAATAAGTGGTATGTGGTCCAAGCTGTCACGTGGGATGTGTGGTGTGGTTTGATGGATGACCTATGTGGAATATACGATAATAAGTGGTATGTGGTCCAAGCTGTCACGTGGGTAGTTTAAAAGATGTGCTATAAAATTAAACCTCATAATAGGCTTAATACACCCCCCTCCCCCAAACATATGGAACCTAATTTATTTATTATATTGTTCAGACAATGTTTTACTTGTTTGAAAGATGATTTAAGACTGGTTAATGATGAAAATATGTGTTCTAAATTATATGATGATTCACGCAATCAGTTTCTTCCAGGCATCTCTTCGGGGGGGGGGGGGGGGGGGGAAGAAAGTCTACACCCCCCTGGACGAGATGGAATTTATATAGTAATCATACAATTTTACTAGTGTCCGCCCCCCCCCCCCTCCGAAAAATGTTGACCGCGCCCCCCCCCCACCGAAAATATCTAGTGCCCACCCGGAGAAAAAAAGTCTGGAAGAAACACTGCACTCAATGTATGATATGAAGACAAGTGCGTTGTAGTTGATGTGATACTTAACGACTTCATGACTCATGTGGTTCTATTGATGAGCTAGGGGTCAATCCTAAGACGACCCGGCATGAAAAAAAAACGGAACTTTAATTTGTCCAATAAAGGAAGGAGTGCTAATATGATTCGCACCAGACAAGGTTAAAAATAGATATGTTATGGGTAGTCCAGTACGGTATCTGCGCTTCGCTTTTATGTTTCACCGGTCCTAAGATTCTAATTACCACGTGAGGCGTTAACTGCTAATTTAATCTAAAATTAATTATGAAGTTTTAAAAGTTAACCGCTTAGAGGATGTGACCACTATTTATAAAAAATTAGGAAACAGTTGGGATGGACATTCAATGTTAATATATCCCCATCCCCTATTTTCAATCACATCTGTTGTACATCCCCCCGTACCAAATGAATATCTCCTCATGCTGCTTTAAATACCTTAATCTCTTACCCAGCAGTAAACGTTCCATATCCCTTATACACGTCAAGCCTATCATCATCCTTAATCCATCAGCAATTAATTTCTAATTTTCCTCTCATAATTATATTAACTCGCCTCACCGCACACACACACAAACACATAATAATCTTAAAATCTTACCAAGTACCCATTAAATCTTGCTTGGTAGGCCTACTTCCTAAACTTCCAAATCCTTCATTTTCCTCTTAATATAAGCGTGCATATCTAAGCAAATATATATATATATATATATATATATATATATATATATATATATATATATATATATATATATATATATATATATATATATATATATATATATTCCAGTATCCTGCAATCCAGAAATGGAGCATATCCCACCCCACCTCCACCCCCACCCTTACGTCGGTCATGCACCTCACCATTACGTCTCCATCCGTGTGTGCAACTGATCCAAGTAAAACCAAACCACCAGACCGCGTCTCCCTGCAGTAGACCTTTGGCACTGGTTACGGTCCATTTCCTCTAGTTACGTGCCTAACCCCGCCCCCTCCATCCCTGCCCGCCCCCCCTCCCCCCATTACAGGTGCCAGACATTTCGAGCCCGCTTACCGGGTGCAAACCACGACCAGATTCGGTCTCTCTTTTAACTAGCGGCGTTGACCTTTTCCACCGAGCTCCAATAATGATACGTCTCCAGGATCCAGGCCCGGGGACATGCAAGCCGGTCCCGGGGCTGGGCGAGCGGGGCCCCGGGCATGAAATTTTAACCAAATGTATATTTAAAAAAAAATAACACCACCGAAATAAAAAGTTACAACTCACACAGCAGACGTCCAGCATGTGTGATGTGAGGACATATTAGTGGCAGATGACGGATCTCCTGACCCCCCCCCCCCCCCACCCAACCCCACCCCTTGAACCTCTGTGGTAGGTAACCAACAGGTTTGGCTCACGTTTCACCTTGCCTGTTTGTCAAGGTCGATTGCTAGGTTTACCCAGTGCGTTTATCGTTTTAAATAATTAAAAAATTTGTCGATTTTAAAGTAAATATTAAGTAAGATTTCAAGAAAACAGTTTAGCCAAGACAGGCAGACAGTTAGGAACAAAACGTTGTTTTCCGGTTAGCCTATGTCGTATAGGTACCAGTTTTGTAAAAAAAAAAAAAAAAAAAAAAAAAAAAAAAAAAAAAAAAAAAAAAAATTGTTGAAGTTAAATTTCCGGTTAAATCAAACATAAGACAAGCTCATAGAGAAAAAAATATTACCGGTGAGATATTTAAGAAAAGAATCTTCTGGAAACTGCTGAGATCGATATGGAGCCTATCAGTGGAACAAAACAACAAAGACATGCCACACAATGTAACACTGATGAGTCAGACGGAAGTTGTGTAGACACAGCGATCAAAACAATATGGCGCTGGGTAAGACCAAACGATACCACGCGATAGAAATACGAGCTATAGTAAGTAATTAAATGAAAGTTTATTAAATAATTAACAGAAAGTCACTCAAATAAATAATTTAGAGAAAGTCTAGTAAATAATTAAGGGAAAGTCACTCAAGTAAATAATTAAGAGAAAGTCTAGTAAATAATTAACAGAAAGTCACTCAAGTAAATAATTAAGGGAAAGTCACTCAAGTAAATAATTAACAAGAAGTCCGTCTGGTAAATAATTTTGGGAAATTCGCTCTTTAAAAAAAAAAAACAACTTCCCAGCAAAATGGTATGATAGTAGTCATACAGACAATTTGAGACAAACACGGCGGTGAAATTATGGGATATTTATTGGACTAGTTCCTGCGGCGGAAGAAAGGTAACAATAACCTTCCATATAATTTGTAAACGAATTGCAATAATATTCAAGCGCACGTGATAAAACGATAAACATTTCTTTCCGTTTAACTTTCAGAAAGTCCTATATCAAATAATGAAGCCATATTTTGAGCTTTGAAATAAAATAGTTATAAAGTAATCTCTGAAGTGGTTGAATGTTGTCTCACTCATGTGAGGCACAGAGAACAAAGAAAATAAAAGAAGCATATCTGAAACTGTACAAGATCTAGTATTATTCTTCTAAGACATTTTTCATTGTTCGATCAACAGTCGCTCCCTTATATGCAACCCTTGTCAAACACATTGTAAAAGTTGCTACCAACAAGTTATGTTTGCGATAAAAAGAAATAGTCTTATACTACATGTTCTTTGCAAAGTTTGGTAACATGGGATTTTAAAAAAAAAAAAAAACTGAATTTTAAAACATTGTTATTTTAAAATCTAAAAAATAAAAAAATAAAAATTAAATAATAAATAAACAAGGCACCACGTGACTAGTAGTTCGCACCATAGCAACGGGCGTTGTTTACAGTTTTGTCAGGTTTTAAAAAAAAATCCAGTCTGGTCGGGGGGAGGTGGTAAAGGGGTGGGGGGGACGGGGACCGGTTCCCCATCAAACACGCCATGGGTTTGATTGACAAGTTAGGCTCCCCCTCGGCAGCCCCCTCGCGGTTCGGGCGAGGGCAGATCTGATGTGAATTAGGAACACACTCCCATGGTGCGCGTTATGCAGGTGCGTAATTCGTGTCGGGAAGAGAAAAAAAAATACAACGTGGCCCCGTCAATGGGGCATATGGGTTTCTACTCTATGTAAGAATTACGGCTCTTGTATTGATATACGAACCAAGTAACAAATAGGGTCAAACTGGTACATATTTATTGTTTCCCTCTTTCCCCTTTCTCTCATTATATATATATATATATATATATATATATATATATATATATATATATATATATATATATATATATATATATATATATATATATATTGATACTTTGGTATAGTTTAGAATAAATCTCATGCTGGAAAATACAAACTGCATAATTAACTCAATTAATAATCTTAATTGCAACACTGTAATTGGCCCACAATTATCACGAGAGGCTACCCAAGCACGGAGTACTTTGAAGAGCAGCGGGCCGAACATCAGCATGGGCGGCGGGTAATGGTAAAAACCGCGATCCCTAGATTGCCAGTTGGGGCACTTGAAATTTAAATTCGAATCATTTAATACCTGGGATTATTTTTTTTTAAAGAACAGAAT